AAAAACAAAATTATTTGCATCAAGGTCCCATAATGTCTAATGTATATACCAAGTTTGAGCAAAATCCATCTGTAAACAGCCGAGAAATGGTTGCTTTTTATGATTTTTTAGCACAAAAATGGCCGCCATTCGGCCATCTTGAATCAGATCGTAAAACAAAATGATGTGCATCAAGGTCCTATAATGTCCAACGTATATACAAGGTTTGAACAAAATCCATCTGTAAACAACCGGGAAATGTTCGATTTTGATGATTTTTAGCACAAAAATGGCCGCCATTCGGCCATCTTGAATCAGATCATGAAACAAATTGACGTGCATATGTATGATATCATGTATGATGTATGTGTGAAGTTTGATTTTGATTGGTCTAGGCATTTCTAAGATACAGGTCCGGACGCACGCACAGACGCACGCACGCACGGAGGTCAAAATATAAGTCGAACGGGGACTAAAAAAGATTGGCAACGATATTCATAATGCATTTCAATCAAGAAATGAAAATGCCATTTGATATGTAACACTTGCTTTATCTTTTTAACAACTAACTTTCTTTTTGTAGTAGTAGTTATCACAACTAGAAACATTGTATTTCTAAGGATGCAATAAAGTTATTATTATTATTATTATATCTCGCGCATGCTTGGCGCGACGACTACAGACTAGACTTTCATTTTCTACTTGATTTTCTTTACATATGAATCACATATCGTTTCTTCTTCAGAGGGTTTCTGTATTGTTGTCTTCCAACAGTTAAAACTCACTAAGGCTTCCTCCAAAATCTACATTTGTTATTGTAGGGAGATAACTAAATTACTTTTGAATGTTCGTTAGGTTCTAAGTTTATTTCGTCCCATTTTACCAAGGTCATTATTTATTTCATGTACAGAGAAATCAGTTTACCAGTTGCATATCCTTTCTTTATAACCTAACCCCTACACAATTCGCATGCCCGTGGGTTTAACAGGTCCGACCATTATGGTGCAACATAGAAACGAACGCAACAATAACATTGTTGTATTATTGGACTGTATCAACAACACATCTTGCGCTGATTCCTCAAAAACGAAACAAATTATCGTCGAATATATGATTAAATACATAATAAATAGGTGAACACAAACAAAATAAGAAAATCTCATCATTACTTACGTGATAAAACATTATTTGTTTCTCGCTTGTGCGAAGGGCTGTTGCTCGTACGGAAGTAACACGGAAGTACTTTTAAGGATGAACTTCAAAATGGCGGGAGCTAATTTGCATTTTTAGGTCAATATTCTATTGGATTTCCATAAGTTACTCAAACATATATAGAGCATACCAATGCATACAAAGAATATATAGCTGGTTTAGAAAATGCTGAAACCCAAATAATTCACAAAACACTTCAGCATATTCTTTAAAACTGAAAATGTCAAACCGGAACTAGAAGTGGATTGTGGGTATGTGACCTCTTGCATGTCGGACACATGTGTTTGGCATGGTTTTTAATCACGTGGTTTTTAATCAAACTACAATGATACATTCAAAGGCTCTAAAGTTTTTCAATTTGACGGGTTTTGGTGTTTCTCGATGTATAGCTAGCTGTCAACAACATGCACAGGTATGCAATTATTATTAGTACTCACCAGTAAATTAATTTATTGAAGGTCAGACCATTGAAAATCGTGGCGGGGAGGGGGTGGTGCGGAAGATTTCAAGAAACAACAGTTGAAGTAATTCTAGAAATAACAAGTAACCTGTAGAATACTGTGTGGGTAATATTTTTTATATTGATTTTTGTTGCATTTGCAGCAAATAGTTACCAAACAATGAGAAATCTATAGGATTGAATATACCCCACAGCTGGCTTCACATGCATTGTTCATAGTTCATATGGTGCTTACACCAGGATTTAATTACAGCACCTAGGCGGTATGTGGTTACAGCTTAATGTTCGAGTAATCGCAAGAAATTGACATGACAATAGAAATTCATTAAAGACTGCCACTCCCATGCAATTAACAGCGAGTGAAATTCCTGGGATTGAAACATATATTTTGATG